GAGAAACAGTCAAACGCGCCTGGAGCAGAATAAAGGAGGGGCAGAGAAGTGGGAGAGGAAGTCAAAAAGGGAGAGAGGACTGCCACTGAGGGGAGAGGACTCAGGCTTTTGCTCCAAATGAGATGGGATACCACCTCTGGCCAATATTAAGTAGGATGTGACTTTTTAAAGGACCCCTTTTTAAAGGATCACTGTGGTTGCTGGCCTCAGTAGGACTATCAGAGGGCAAAAGCAGAAATAAGACCACCAGAAAGTGATCACAGAAGTCCAAGCTGACACTGGCTTGGGCAGGGTGATGAAAAGCTTCAGTTTCGGGAAGTCTGTTAATGATAAAGCCAACAGGATTTATTGACGGAATGACAGATTAAGTGTGAAAGGGAAGGGTCAGGGATGACTTCGAGGTTTCTGGTCTGGGCAAATGAAAGGACGGAGCTGCCATTTAACGAGATGAGAAAGACTGTGGGAGCAGTACATTTGGAGTGGAGGACGGCAGGCAGCATAGAGAATCAAGAGTTGCTTTGAAGAGGTCCAAGCAGAAATATGAGGTAAGCAGTTGGATATATGAGTGTGAAGTTTTGGGGTGAGACCTAGCTGAAGATATAAATTTGGAAGCCATGAATAGACACATGGTATTTAAAACCATGAGACTCCTGCAATTCATACACCTTAAATATGACCTGTGTGAAAATATTAATTCCAAAATGGATACTTAAACTAAATTGGTAACTTCTCCTTTCATTTCCATCATTCCTATAAATTTAACTTAAAGAGAGTTGGTATTATAACGCCTAATAGCATTCATCATAAATGCTCAGATTTTGGGGGTGAATTACAGACCTTCAGAGTAACTGTGACTCCATGAAGTACAGGAAAATCTTGCCCATTTGTTAACTATACAATAACCTTACCTCTTCAGAACGCAGCCAAGAATCAAGAATCAAAATAGGTCTTTGGGTAGACACAGGCAGTCATGAAATCCATGCAATCAAGTCCATGGACTTCATTAACTAGTAAAAGTCCCTGCAAATGCAGTTCTGATCCAAAACATGCAAAGAGCAGTCTAGGACTATTTGGTTAAAGAGGCAGAGGCCCACCAAAGCACAAATTCTTATTAACACCCTAGGGCATCAATCTATAATATAGGGGAAGACAGTATAAATGCAGATAAAATATATATGATAATAATGACAGCAATCTTTCCTTAGTTTCCTTTGTTCTAGGTATCTTTCAGTATAACTCTTCATTTCTAATCCTTACAACAATCCCTGAAAGTATCAATAATATTATTCCCACTTTTCGGATGGGGAACAGAGGCCAGAGAGGTTTAATATTTTGATCACAGTCATATCACAACTAGAAGGGCCAGAACTAGAACCCAGTTGTGCCTGAATCCAAAGCCAGTATGCTTCAAACTATACCATAAGAAAAGGTATATTCTATATACTTTTTATAAGATGCTAAAGGAATTATCTATTACAATTATCATCTAAAATGTTTAAATTCTGGGACACCTGGGTGGCTCAGTTGGTTAAGCGTCTGCCTTGGACTCAGGTCATGATCCCAGGGTCCTGGGATTGAGCCCCCTGCTTGTGCATGCCCTCTCTCTCTCTCTGACAAACAAATATATAAAATCTTTAAAATAAAATAATGTTTTTCAGAAACTGTGGTGTTGAACAAAATTGTTTAGAATATTTTTGTCTAAGTGGAATATCATTCTTGATCTAAGTAAGAAAATACTGCTTCTGTATTTTTGTGTAGTAGCCAGTCTACATCAATATCATTTTTACAAATTGAGAGTGTAGTGCATCATTTACTGCTTTAGTTTATCCCCACCAAGGTACAAATTTTTCTCCAGGTACTTACTCCAAGTTTAAGAATTTAAACATTTTATTTTATTTTATATTTATTTATTTATTTATTTTATTGGAATTATTTCCAATACTCTTTTATTTCAGTTTAGAATATTAAAGTTTTCAAAATCATCATGTATTAAAATGGCAATGACAGAGAAGAAACAAAATTGATGAACAACACAAATGTCTTACATTTTAGTCATAAGATTCAACTTCTTTCCTCATCAATCTTAAACCAGATGTCAAACAAGCACTGAAATGGATTAGCTTGAATTTCATCCCTACTGATTTTGCAAATGAAGTACCACAGCACTTTAGATATGACAAATGTCCACCATAAGGCAATTCCAAGGCAGAAGGAGAAAGAAATAATAAAATCCATCCCAAATCCACAAAGAAGGCTTCTCTCCCTGCCACACCCACTATAATGAATAATTAAACCACCTATTCCTTTTGGAAGGAGGCGGGATAGGAGCGACTTCAATCATTCCAAGGCCTCCATTTAAGTTATCAAAAGGCCTATGAACCCAAAGATACTGATCACTTCTCTTCAACAAACAGGAGCTTGCTTTGTGACACTCCCTTCATCCTAGCAAGAAAGTCATTATACTTTCAGTACCAGCTAAGAAAAAAATAAGCCTTGAGATTCAATTTTACTATCTCGGGGAAAATCAAACAGCTAATAAATTCCTCTCTAGACACAAAAATTGGTAACAGACACATGAAAAAGTGCTCAACATCACTCAGCATCAGGGAAATACAAATCAAAATCACAATGAGACACCACTTCACGCTGGTCAGAATGGCTAAAAGTAACAACTCAGGAAACAAGAGATGTTGGTGAGGATGCAGAGAAAGGAGAACCCTCTTAAACTGTTGGTGGGAATGCAAACTGGTGCAGGTACAGGGAAAGACAGTATGGAGGTTCCTCAAGAAGTTAAAAATAGAACTACCCTATGACCCAGCAATTGCACTACTGGGTATTTATCCAAAGGATACAAACATAGTGATTTGAAGGGGCACAGGAACCCCAATGTTTAGAGCAGCAACGTCCACCACAGCCAAACTATGGGAAGAGCCCAGTTGACCATTGACATGTGAATGGATAAAGAAGATGTGATACACACACACACACACACACACACACACACACACACGAATATTACTCAGCCATCAAAAAGAATGAAATCTTGCCATTTGCAATGACATGGATAGAACTAGAGGGTATTATGCTAAGCGAAATAAGTCAGTCAGAGAAAGACAAATATCCTATGATTTCACTCATATGTGGAACTTAAGAAACAGAACAGATGAACATATGGGAAGAGAAGAAAAAATAAAATAAGAGGAAAACAGAGAGGGAGACAAACCATAAGAGACTCGTAAGGAACAAACTGAGGGTTGCTGGAGGGGAGGTGGGTAGGAGGATGGGGTAATTCTGTGATGGGCATTAAGGAGAGCACTTGATGTAATGAGCACTGAGTCTTATATGCAACTGATGAATCACTGAATTCTACCTCTGAAACTAACAGTACAGTATATGTTAATTAAATTGAATTGAAATTTAAGAAAATATTTTTTATTTTCTTTCTAAAGACATCCTTTCTCAAAATCTAACTGGTGAAAGACTTTAAAATAAGAAAAGCAACAACTGTAATTATAAGAATCAGAAATTCTCAGAGTTTCTTTCTTTTTTTTTTTTAAAGATTTTATTTATTCATTTGTCAGAGAGAGAGAGAGCACAAGCAGGGGGAGTGGCAGGCAGAGGGAGAGGGAGAAGCAGGCTCCCCGCCGAGCAGGGAGTCTGATGCAGGACTCGATCCCAGGACCCTAGAATCATGACCCGAGCCAAAGGCAGTTGCTTAACTGACTGAGCCACCCAGGCGCCCTCTCAGAGTTTCTTAATCTAGGAAATAGCATCTTTTTAGGACTCTGTTTACGGAAATGACTAACCAGGCCAATCTCCAGAATGTCATATTAGGCAAGTTCAGAGGACTAAATCTGATCATTTTCAGGACACAATCCAATGAAATAAATGTGTGATTCTATTGGAAGAAACCTCTTTACATTTTCAGAACCAATGTAATATACCTCTAAAACTGTCCCAACAGCTAAGAAGTCATATACTTAAGGAGATGGGCACCTATTAACTATACACAGTATATTCATAATAAAAATTCCTGATTGATTTGCATGATTAAAACTAAAAATAATTCAAGAGAATGTTTGGTAAAATATGCCTTTTTATATCTCTTTGGGAGACCAAACTCTTTCACCATCATGCTAAGAAGTAAAGCTACATTTCTGAGCTGTATAAAGTACCAGCAATTACCTATTTCACATGGCACACCATCTTATACATGCTGAGTAAATCAGATTAAGAATTAATGGGTTAAGGGCGCCTGGGTGGCTTAGTCGTTAAAGCGTCTGCCTTCGGCTCAGGTCATGATCCCAGGGTCCTGGGATCGAGCCCCACATCAGGCTCTCTGCTCCGCGGGAAGCCTACTTCTCCCTCTCCCACTCCCCCTCCTTGTGTTCCCTCTCTCGCTGTGTCTTTCTCTGTCAAATAAATTTAAAAAAATCTTTAAAAAAAAAATTTAAAATTTAAAAAATTTAAAAAAGAATTAATGGGTTAATATATAACAGCCACAGATACGATCATAGATAAGCGTGTACAAATGGGTTAGTACACACATATGTATACATGCATATGTTACCCAGCTCTGTTCACTGAGAGCTTGGAAGCAATGACATCTCAGTAACAATGATCATACCTAGCTCCAGATCCTGATTCTAAATACCATTCTCCAATAAAAGGAACCAGGGCTCCTTGGAAAAATGGATGATTCTAGGGGTAGGACAGGAAAAATAAAAGATGAAGCTGGAGCATCTTTTTAGTACCCAAAAGTAAGTGCTCAAATCTGCATTTTAACTTTGTTTTTCATGATGAGACTTTTGTTAAGTAAAGGAAGAAAATATTATTACCATTAGATTGTCCATGAGTGATTAATGACTGTTGTTGCTTCCTTTCTTTTACCCAAAATATGCAACCCTGCATTCTCTAATCCCCAAAAGTTCACACAGTAAAGAGGGGACTCATATAAAAGGGCAGAGCAGTTAGGGGTTAGTCACAAAATTAAATCATACCGTGCAAAATTCAAGCTTTTTACCAGTTCATCTAATATGCGGTTATTTTTTAGGTCCGGCTCTGTGACTGTCTAGAAAGGAAAAACAACAGATGGAAAAAGGTCAGAAATAATAAAATAACTTGTCATAATCTTGTTTTGAAAATGTGTGACCCATCCTCCTGAGACTCCCCATCCCACTAAGTCTTACAGGAAAGCCTCAAAATAAAGTTCATTTATCTCATACTAATATGGAATTTTAAAACAGTGAATCAGCATCTGCTGACTGGAAGTCTGAGAGAAGTTCTCCACAGCCTCTGATAAAATCGTATATGTTTTGTACCAACTAAGATAAAACCTAATATGAGCAAGGATCCTTATTCAAACTGCCATCTCAAAAATTTCTCCTGAAAAAGCAGACCAGAGATGCTCTTTTAAGTGACCACATAGGGAGAGGCATTAGGTGTTACAAGAAAGTTTAAAAACAAGGTTGGTGTTCAGGAATGAAACAGAAAAATGACAGATTTCGTAGTTATTTGGCATGAATGGTATTCAGTTCATCTCCCTGATGATACCACCTTGGCAATGGCAAGACACCAAGTTGTAAAGAGATTAAACTTGGAAGCCAAACTGCATCATTTCTAATGTAGGGAAATAGTTCAGAGAAGTTCCATGATATCCTAACACCATGTACCTACCAGAGGCACCAAACCAGAACCCAAACCCTTCAATAAGTCCCAGTATCCTTTCTATTAGACCTCACTGTCTCTTCTTTTTCCTTTATTCCTATTGATGTTTACTTGCCCTTTTTACCTACCTTTTTGCCTACTTGAAATGCTTCAGAAACTCTAACATCAAATTTCCTACTGTTTTCCATGAAGGTCTGGTTTGGGAAAGAAGTAAGGGACTGTTATGGGGCGCCTGGGTGGCTCAGTCAGTTAAGCACCTGACTTGATTTCAGCTCAGGTCATGACCTCAAGGTTGTGAAATCAAGCCCTGTGTCAGGCTCCATGCTCAGTGCGGAGTCTGCTTGAGTTTCTTCCTTCTCCCTCTGCCCCTTCCCCCCATTCCCCCTCTCTCTCTTTTTCTAAAATAAACAAACAGGGGCGCCTGGGTGGCTCAGTTGGTTGGGCGACTGCCTTCGGCTCAGGTCATGATCCTGGAGTCCCGGGATCGAGTCCCGCATCAGGCTCCCTGCTCAGCAGGGGGTCTGCTTCCCCCTCTGCCCTCTTCCCTCTCGTGCTCTCTGTCTCTCATTCTCTCTCTCTCAAATAAATAAATAAAATCTTAAAAAAAAAAACCAAATAAAATAAACAAACAAACAAATAAATAAATAAAATCTTTAAAAAAAAGAAGTAAGGGACCAGTTAGGCTCGGCTTGGCCCAATGGCCATAAACCTTTGCCTTCCACACAAATACTTAAATACCAATCCTATGCAAATGAAGCCATAAAAACATAGATCATAAGATTTAAAGGATGCTACATCCTGATCCTAGAATTAGTTTCCACTTCCTAAAATATATTCAGGTTATCAGAAATCTTTATGAAAAATTGCATAAAGCCCAGTTCTCCATATATGTGTTTTAGAGGTCCTTTCTGAAAATGTCTTTTATGTAGCTTAATTCAATAATTATACCTCTTCCCTTGGGCTTTTGTGTATATGTGATACAGAAATATTTGCATCAATCAATTAAGTTTACAAGAAAAAAACCAGAAAGAAAAACTTACCACACAACAAGTTGGACATTGTGTTTTATAGGACAGAAATTTTCTTATACAGAGAGAACAGTCTGCAAAAAAAAAAACAAATGCAACATAATAAATTAGTTAAGCTATATTAATAATATAGGAATCTGACTTCTAACAAAATCTGACTTAAGGGCTCCTGGGTGGCTCAGTCGTTGAGCATCTACCTTCGGCTCAGGTCATGATCCTAGGGTCTGGGGATCGAGCCCTACATCGGGCTCCCTGCTTCGTGGGAAGCCTGCTTCTCCCTCTCCCACTCCCCCTGCTTGTGTTCCCTCTCTTGCTGTGTCTCTCTCTGTCAAATAAATAAATAAAATCTTTAAAAAAAAAAATCTGACTTAAGCCCTAGAATATTTCCATCATCTAAGGCATATCACTATAATCTCAAAATTCTAACACCTCTACTCTACCTATGCATACTTGCAAAAGTCATGAAACTGCATTTTCAGGAGAGAGAAATGTACCAAATAATAATAATCATGAGTCCCTAGGATATCACAACCCCATAAAATGTAGGAAACATACATGTAAGACCTGGGATGGATACTGTATAAACGTGTCAGATATCCCTATGCCTAACAATCTAAAATATAAATTTTGAGATAAGATTTATACACATGTTAAGAAATAATATATACCTAGGTTATCAATTAGGGATTTCTACATCCTAACTCTACAAATGACGTTGATCAAACACATATAACAAGTACTTTTTGGCAAGCACTAAGAAAAGAAAAATACATAAGGGAAGGTTCTTGACCTTAAGGAGCCAACAAAGTAGTGAGGTAATTTCAGTACCATTCAGTGTAATAAATCCTAAGGATTTAAGCAGGAAATCGGCATTAATTAAATTCTTCACACCCAAAGCAGTATAAAATAATCTCCCAAAGGAAAAAAAATTGTGACTAAATAGAATGGTCCCTTAATGGTAGCTAATTTGCTATCAGTCCAAATTCAGCTTAGTGAAGGGGCCTCATTAAAAAGGATTCAGTTTAAAGAGGAGGAGACTGTATGATTTCGGGTATAGATATCCAGGAAATGAACAAGTTGTGGCAGCCTCAGCAAGAGCAACGAGGAGGAAAAATGAAAGAACACGTTAAAAGAGAAGATAAAACAGGCAATGGGTTAATTAAGTTTTGTGTGGAAGCAAAGACAAATAAAGGGGAAATTCTGGTTTCCAGGTTTACAGGTAAGGAGTTTGAAAGTCATCACCCCATCTCCATCTAATAACAAGTAAAAAGACTGAAAAATCAACTGTAACAAGTAAACAAGTAAAAAGACTGAAAAATCAGCTCTTCTTAGCTCCATCAGAGAAGTGAGGTTACAGGACAAACTGTTGCTCCCAAACTAGAGAGCCAGACAGGCTGGATATGGAGAACCAGAACTTAGCAGAGCAGAAACCTCCACAAGAACCAGAGAAAGAGCCTCTACTAGAACCAGCGCTGGGGCAGGAAGACCTGAACTGTAATTGGCAAATTGCTGGAAACTCAGCAGGGAAGAGTCTGAGAGTTAAAAACTCCAGGGGGTCCAAGATATAGGGTAGGTCCACACATACATGAATTTCAGCTCCAGGTTCTACCAGGTACTCAAAAGTGACAATCTGAAAAATCCCCTGCTCCTTCTGCGGGGGAGCGGGGGGTGAGTAATCATTTTGCAATACACCAGAGCACTCAGTTCTTTTTTTTTTTTTTAAAGATTTTATTTATTTATTTGAGAGAGAGAGAATGAGAGACAGAGAGCATGAGAAGGAGGAAGGTCAGAGGGAGAAGCAGACTCCCTGCTGAGCAGGGAGCCCGATGTGGGACTCGATCCCGGGACTCCAGGATCATGACCTGAGCAGAAGGCAGTCACTTAACCAACTGAGCCACCCAGGCACCCCCACTCAGTTCTTCTTAACAAGGCCTGCCCTCAAGAGAAAACTACTTTACCAGACCCAAGTCTCTGGGGTATACTCAGAGCCCAGCTGATCTGGGGGAAGGGAAATAATGGACTCCAGCTACCTCTACTCATCCTGTCCCAGCTAAGGGGAGGAACAAACTGAGAAGCACTTGCATAGTTCACAGTCCGGGGCACAGACTCACTTAATGACAGGCGTAATCATAGAACTACAGAGCACTGCACTTCTGACATCTCATGGCCATGTTACTAAAGGTCTATTTATTACAGTTCCATTTCCCTGGTACATCATGACTGGTTATTAGGAAAAAACTACAAGGCATACTAAAAAGCAAGAGACATAGCTTGAAAAACTGAATGCATCAGAATCATAGCCAAATATGGCATGAAAGCTGGCATTAAAAAACAAGGAATTTAAAACAACTGGACAAAGTTGACGACATGGAAGAACAGATGGGTAACGTAAGCAGAGAGCTGGAAATTCTAAGAAAGAATCAAAAGGAAATGTTAGAGATGAAAAACACTGTAACAGAATGAAGAATACCTTTGATGGTCTCAATAAATAAGACACAGCTGAAAGAAAAATCACTGCACTTGAGAATATCTCAATAGAAACTACAAAACTGAAAAGAAAAAGACGGGGGGAAAAAAACAGTACTTAGCATTTTGTAGCAGGATATACAAGGTGTGATATACATGTAATAGCAATACCAAAAGGAGAAGAAAGAGGGGGGAAAAAACAAGAAATATTTGAAGCAATAATGACTGAGAATTCCCCCCGAACAGTCAGAAAGCAAACCAGAGATGCAGGAAGCCAAGAGAACACCAAGCAGGAAAAATTCCAAAAAAAAAAAAAACCTCCAAACCCACAAAACCCTCATATTTGAGCTGCAAAAAATCAAAGATAAAGAAAATAATCTTGAAAGAAGCCGGAGGTGGGGGGACACCTTAGCTATAGATAAGCAAAGAGAAGAATTAAATCCAACTTCTCAGAAACCATACAATCAAGAAAAGAATGGAGTATTGAGAGAAAAGACCCACTACCAACCTAGAAGTTTATGTCCTGTGATATAATCCTTTAAAAGTGAAAGAGAAACAGACCTGCTCAGACAAGTAAAAGTTGAGGGACTTCACTCCCAGTAGACCTGCATCACAAGAAATGCTTTAAAAAGTTCTTCGGAGAGAAGGAAAATAATTTAAGTCAGAAACCTGGATCTACGGGGCACCTGGGTAGCTCAGTCAATAAGCGTCTGCCTTCGGCTGGGGTCATGATCCCAGGTTCCTAGGATGGAGCCCCACATCGGGCTCCCTGCTCTGCAGGAAGCCTGCTTCTCCCTCTCCCACTCCCCCTGCTTATGTTCCCTCTCTCGCTGTGTCTCTCTCTCTCTCTCTCTCTGTCAAATAAATAAAATCTTAAAAAAAAAAAAAAAGAAAAGAAACCTGGATCTATATAAACAAAGGAAAGGCACTGGAGAAGGAATAAATACAGGTAAAATAAAAACTTTTATTTTTCTTATTCTTAATTGATCTAACAGGTAACAGTTTCTTCAAACTGTTTCTCCAGTTTCTTCTTTTATATATATATATATACACACACACACACACACATATATATATATTCATTCTTATGTGTGCTTATGTATAAGTGGAATGAATGACATCAATGATACAAAGTGCTGGAGGGAGGAATTAGATGTCTTAGTCTGCTTGGGCTGCCAAAACAAAATAACAAAATACCATAGACTGGTGCCTTAAAGAAATTAATTTTCTCACAGTTCTGGAGGCTAGAAGTTCAATATCAAGATGCCAATATGGTCGGTTTGTGGTGAGGACTCTCTTCCTGGCTTGTAGGTGGCTGCCTACTAACAGTGTCCTCACTTGGCAGGGGGAGAGAACAAGCTATATATGTCTCTTCTTTTAAGGGCACTAATCCCTTCATCAAGGCCCCACCTTCATGGCCACAACTAAACCTAATTATCTCCCAAATACTATACACTGGGGATTAGGGCTTATGAATTCTGGGAGGGACACGATTCAGTCCAGAGCATTCTGCTCCTTGCCAACTGAAAATCCATGCCCTTCTCCTGTGCAAAATACAATCATCCCATAGCACCAGTCCCAAAAATCTTTAATTCATTTCAGCACTGACTCTAAAGTTTAAAGTCCAAAATATCACCTAAATCAGATATAATGGAGACATGAGGTATGATTCATTGTGAGGCAAAATTCCTCCCCAGATTCATTCTCTTGACTATCAATGTTATTCCCTTCACAGTATAAAAAAATCTCCTGGGCAATACTATAAATCAAAAATTCCCAAACCTGGCTACATATCTGAATCACTTAGAGAGATTATTGTCGGTTTTAATTTAGTTTCCCAGGCCCTACCCCAGTCATATGGATTCAGTGGATTTGGGCCAGTAAATTGCATCCATAATATGTGATTCTGATTGAACAACAATTATTTTTTAAAAATTAGTATGTTTTTGCTATTACATTTTAACTATATAAAATTGTCATTTTTTGGTAAATCAAAAAAGAACAAATACTGGCAATTTCATGTGGTTTAACATAACACTGTGCACTTACTATGTGCTCTGTTTTAGGCATGTTTTATGTATGAACTCTTTTGATCCTAAAAACAACCCTGAGGCTGGTACTAATATTAGTCCTATTTTACAATAAGTAAAATGCAGCATAGGGTTCACCCAATTTGACCAAGATCACAAAGGAAATAGGTGGCAAAGGCAAGTACCAGAGCTCATGCTTTTAACATATTAATTATTTAAAACATATATAATTTGTTTATAAAACACATTTATTATATATACTTATATAATACAAATAAATATTATTTCATTAACAGGATCACATGTACCAGAGTATGCATAATGAGACTACTGCTTTCTCTTCTGCATAATCTTGTATGTGTTTTATTTTCACATACGGAGAACCAGACACAGGCCCAAAGTAGATTGAGCTCTTAGCTTAATTTCAGTCTACTAGTTTACTACCAAATATGTACTGGTGAGCTGCAGACCAGCATAATGCATTCTCTAGTGAGCAACTCTCATATTCCAATCAAAGTAGAGCTGTTGAAGAGCTCTGGACTATATATTCCTCAGTGGCTTTATTTAAATCACCTGTG